TAGAACAGTATATAAATAGGGAACTTTCAGAAGGCCAAGCAGAATTTAGAAGAGGCTGTGGCATCAGGGATAACACTGCTAATATCAAATGAATCCTGGATGAAAGTAAAGAATGCCAGAAGAATGTCTTTTTTTATACTTTATTGACTTTGACTGTGTGGATCATAACAAATTATGGCTAACATTGAGAAGAATAGGAATCCCAGAACATTTATGTGGAACTTACACCTAGACCAAGAGATTGTTGTGTGAACAGAGCAAGGAAACACTACATGGTTGAAAATTAAGAAGGGTGTGTATCAAGGTTGTATCCTCTTTCCATACCTATTCAATCGGTATGCTGACCAAATTATTCCGGAAGTTGGACACTATGAAGAAGAATGTGGCATCAGTATTGAAGGAAGACTCATCAATGACATGTGTTGTGCGGATGACATAACCTTTTTTGCTGAAAGTGAAGAAGACTTGAAGCACTTTTTACAAATCAAAGAAGACATACTGCCTTCAACATGGATTGCATCTCAACATCAAGAAAACAAAATTTCTTACTACTGAACCAGTAAGCAACATCATAATAGATAGAGCAATCAACACCCTTGGTACCAGCAGTCAGAAGATCAATAGACATATTGGAAAGTCTAAATTAGTAAGGAGCAATGATGTAGTTTTGAGGACTAAGGTGTCCCTGATTCAGGCATTGGTCTTTTCAGTCACCTGCTGTGCATCTGACAGCTGAACAATAAATAAGGATAATAGAATAAGAATTGATGCCTTGAGCTGTAGTGTTGGAGAAGAGTTCTGAATAGCCCATAGAATACCAAAAGAACAAACAAATATACCTTGAAGAAAGTGCAGCCAGAGTGCTCTTTGGAGGCAAAGTTGATAAACCATTCATCTCACGTACTTCAGGCATGAAGTATCAGGAGAAGATATTCCTTGGAGAGGGGCATCATGCTTGGGAAGGTGGAAGATCAGCGAAAGAGAGGAAAACCCTCAATCAAATAGATTGACTGTGACTGCTGCAGTGGGTTCAAGTGTGTCAGAAAGTATGAGGATGGCACAGGACAGGACAGCATTCAGATCTGTTATTCATAGGGTTTCTGCATCATACTCAACTAAACAGCACCTAACAACAACAACAGCGTTCATGAGTTGGAAGAGTCAGTATTGATGTCAGTTCTTTCCAAACTGATCTATAAATTTAGCTTAGTTCTGGTCCATATCTCAACAGCAGTTTTAGGTTTTGTTTTAACAGAATTGAAATTTATCTAGAAATACAAAAGACCCAGAATAGTCCATGCAACTTTGAAAAAGAAATACAAAGTTCAGGACTAATAACACCAATTTTGAAGGTATATTACAAATATACCTTCAAAACCAATGTGATGACATCTAACAGCAACAAGAAATCATTTGTGAAAAGTTTTTCCATAAAAATGACTTCTTCCTTTTATTGTTTTATTGTAGAGGCTAGAACCTCCAATGTCAAATTGATATTATAAGATTACACACCCTTGTTTTGGAAGAGAATAGAGTCCAGAAATAGACATGTATATATAACTTTTCCTTTTTCAATTACAAGAGCAATTTAAGGGGATAAAGGATAATATTTTCAGCAAATAGTTCTGAAATAATTAGATATACATATGGAAGAAAATTAATTTCTGTACCTACCCTATACCAAATACAAAAATAAAAATAGATCATAGAGTTCAATATAAAACTAAAAAGCTTCTGAAAGAAAACAGACAAATAGTGTTTGTGACCTTGAGTCAAGCAATGATTGCTTCAATATCACGCCAATAACACAACTCAGAAAAGAATTGTTAATAAATGAGACTTCTTCAAGGTAAATATCTTCTATTCTTTAAAAAATACTGTTGTTGAGGATATTAAATGGCAACCTACCGACTAGAAGAAAATCTTTTAAAAGTTGCATGCAGAATACATTACAAACTAAAAATTCTGTTCTAAGAAAACAACCCAGTTTTAAAATTGGTAAATGTTTGCACAGACCTTGGCTAAGAAGATCTATGGCTGGCAAATAAATATATAGAAAGATGCTTAATACCATTAATTATTAGAACAATTGAAGTTCAATTACAATGAAATGCCACCACACACCTGTTAAAAAGACTAACCATACAAAGTGTTGGTAAGGGTATAGAACTACATTCTGCTGGCAGGATTCTACACATTACAGCCACTTCAGAAAAGAGTTTGATAGTTTCTTAAAAAGTTAAACATAAAGATATTATATGTGCTATCTATTCTACTCTTAGGTATTTATCCAAGAAGAAAAATACCATATGTCCATACAAAAAATTATACACAAATATTCATAACATCTTTCTTTGGAATAGCTAAAACTTAGTAACAACCTACCTAATAAGAACAGGTAACTGTACCTGTATCTTCACACAATGACGAAGTAGTAAGAACAAGCTGTAAACTACGGATAAATGTGATTGTGACATGGATGGATCTCTACAAAAAGAGTTGCATAGTATATGATTTCATTTATACGTAGTCCTTGGAATTGCTGTCTAATCTCTAGTAACATTAAGCTGATCGGTGGTTGCCTGGTGATAGAGATGAGAATGGGCAGAGGAAAAGATTACAAAGAAGCAGGAGGGCACTGTGAGCAATTATGGATCTATTCATTATCTTCGTTGTGCTCATAGATTCATGAGTATAAACATATGTCAAAACTTATCAAATTTTACACTTTAGATGTTTACAGTTTATCGCATGCCAATTTTCTTCAATAAAGCTGCGAAACAACAACAGCTGAAAAAAACCCAAAACTGTCAACCAGATGCAGTATGTGGACCTGACTTGAATTCTGATTCAAACAGGCTAACTATGAAGTGAAATTTATAAAGCAATCAAGAAAACTTGAACTCTGGATATTCCATGACATTGATAAACTGTTGTTACAACTGTGTTACAGAAGCTAAAAAATACTATGGTTCCATGTATATATGTGTGTGCATATAAGTGGATAGTGGTGGGATGTATAAACAAGTATATGGGTGCTCATGTGCATACATAAAGGGTCCCTGGTAAGGGTCGTGTATAATACATCAATCTGCTAATCAAATGTTTGAACCCACCAGTCACTTCAGGAATAAGGTGGACAGTCTTCTCCTATGAAGATTTACACGTTTAGAAACCTGACAGTGGGATATTATGAGTCAATGTATGTGTGTTCATCCCTGCAAATATTTCCATATATGCTGTAAGAAGATATGTAGAGAAACGATAACAGATGCAATTGAGTCAATTGCAATAGTCCATCAAGGTTTTGGTTCTGCACAATAATCTGGTGAGTAGTATGCCATCTAAGAGACAAATATTGGTTTCTACATGTGTAGAGTAAAAGAGAATGAGTCGGAAAAGAAACTAGTTGATAAGACTTAATTGCTACACAAACCACAACCTCATCTTTCTTGAGACCAGAAGAACTAGGTGTTGCCTGGCTAGCACTACTGTGCATTCTCACTAGGAACACAATAGATGGATCCTCATAGAATGAGGCCAAAATGTTGACCAAAACTCAAGTAGTAATTCCAGACCCACTGGATGCCAGGTGCGACTCCTCAAGTGACTGTTATCCTGAGGGACTATTTAAACCTTAAACCATGAGGTTATCTTTGAACTGAAGAGTAGATTGGCTTTTGTTATGAGTAAATAGTATAAAATTAAAGAAAAAAGTTTTTAAACCACTATAAGAAAAAAGAACAAATTAGCTTTTAAAGAAACAATACCATTTATGAACTGTTGTGCTCCTTTGGAAAAAATTCTACTGTATGAGGCCAAATATCGACATTTACTCAAATGAAAAAACAAGAAGTCAGGGGAATGGGGAAACTAGATTACTGGAAACATGTAACAACCAAGTGGTAATAATGAGAAAGTTGACACACTGAAAATATATAACCAATGTCACTGAATTATAAAGAAATTGTTAAATGAGAACTTAATTTGCTATGTAAACTTTTACTAAATAAGGAAAAACATATTTTCATTTAAAAATGAGATTATTAAAACAAGTATGCAACAATAACAAAGTTCAACAGGGTAGCAAACAACAAATGCTGGCAAAATTGTAGAGAGATTGGAGCTCTTTTTCACTGCTGGTGGGAATGTAAAATGGTACAACCACTATGGAAGGTGGTCTAGCACTTTCTCAAAACGTTAGAAATAGAAATACCATTTGACCCAGCAATTCAGCTATGAGAATATACCTTAAAAAACCCAAAGCTACAACTCAGACAGATGTTTGCACCTCCATGTTTATTGCTATGTTTTGCACAGTAGCAAAGAGATGGAAGCAACCTAAATACCCATCAACAAATGAATGGCTAGAAAAACTGGTACATTCACACAATGGAGTATTATGCAGCATTGAAAAAACAATGAACTCATAAAACATTACACAACATGGGGCAACCTGGAGGTCATTAAGCTAGGTGAAAAAGCTCTGTCACAAAAGGACAAATACTGCATAGCACCACTGTTTTAAAATGGGACTGACATGGGGCTCTGGGGCCGAATAAAAGGGAAGGAGTCGATAGGTAATGAACACTGCACTGGAACAGATGAGAGAAAGAACTGTTAAAAAGGAATATATGATTAGGTATTATATGCACAACAGTAATCTGGAATAAGAGGTACATTGCAAAGTGGATTATGGAGGAGGGAAGAAAATGCTGAAAAGAGAAAGAAAAAGAAAAATGAAATTATTGATAACTTTTCATTGTAATATGGTACTCACTGAAGTACTTACACTTGATTTGATGTCTAAGAATTGTTTCAAAATAATATGAGTAACAGGATGGTGAAGTATAGCTATAACAGGTTATCTGTGATTCTGGGACATTGGGATGGTACTTCAGTGATCTTCTCTGGACTGTGTTGGAAATTTTCCATTACTAAAGAGGAAGAAAAGTGTCCCTGGCTTTGATGCCTCTCTCATGACATCCCTGTGTGCACAGGTGTTCACCTTCACATGGAGAGAGGACATCCGGCCTGGAGACCCCCAGCACACCAAGAAGTTCTGCTTTGATGCCATCTCCCACACCAGCCCCGTCACCCTGTATGACTGCCACAGCATGAAAGGCAACCAGCTGTGGAAGTACCGGAAAGTAAGTCAGGAGGATGTGGGTCGTGCACAACAACTAGGATAATTTTTAAAACACAGTATAGTGGGGTGCTTGCTGGTGCAGATTGTTAAGGACTTGATCTTAAAGGTTGGCAGTTTGAGCCCATCCAGAGGCATCTCTTCAGAAGAAGGAATATTGATTTGATTCTGAAAGGCCAGTGCCTCAAAAACTCTGTTCTGCACACATGGGGGTCACTCTTAAGTCAGAATTGACTTGGCAGTAAAAAAGCAAAGAACTGAAACAAAGGTAACATTGTATTTCAATTTCTTTTTAAATCCAAAACAATTTAAGCCTTCCCAATAGAGCTCATTCATTCCACAGAGCTACCAGGCCCAGTTTTCCATTTGTCCGAGAGAAGCCAGAAATCTCAATTCTTGAGTGAAATTCCCAGAAATCTTAAATGTGGGCAACTGGAGTCCATGAAAAAATAAAATCCAGAACCAGGTCTATTGAAATTTCACAAGGGACAGCCCACTGTGGGGGCTAGGCCTGGCTGGACGCAGCACACCCCATGTTGGCCCACATCCCCATGGCCAAAATATAATCATGTGGTGATGCCAACTCCAAGTAAGTGAGGCTCATTACAGCGAGCAGCTCCCTAGCCACTTCTTCACCCCTTGCTGTTGTTATTGCTGCTGTGTAACTCTCCCCAGTCCCCAGAGCTGCCTGGCTGACAACCTCCCTGTTTTCTAGGACAAGACCCTGTACCACCCTGTCAGCGGCAGCTGCATGGACTGCAGTGAAAGCGACCACAGGATCTTCATGAATACCTGCAACCCCTCCTCTCTCACCCAGCAGTGGCTATTTGAACACACCAATGAGACAGTCTTGGAAAAATTCAATCAAAACTGAGCCCTGGCGTCCACTCGGCAGGCCTGGCAGAGGCTCTCTGTTCTCACCACAGCCTTCCTCTCCCAAGGGGACAAGGGTTCCCCTGGTGCTGGCCTGGTTCAGGGGGAAGAAGGTTCTTGCAGCCACAATCCCAGGCCTCCCAAAGCCACAGCACGGTGTCTGCCTGGCCCTTAAGCCCCTGTGTCCTGGGAATAAAATATCCCACAAGAGTCACAGACAAGAGCTGAGCCTCTTTAACTCCTACTGGCATCAGAGGAGTCCAGAAGGGCCTGCTTAATGTTGCCACCATGTCCCTTTGAGCATCCCATTGGAGGAATGCCAGAGTGGTCCTAGGCCAGCCAGAAATTAGTCCTGCTAGGTTGCCCAGGAGGCTGCCACTCCTGAAGGTCCTTTAGAGAACTATGTGACATGATGTAAGGTAAGGTTTAACAGCACTGATGCCACCTCTGCAGCAGAAGGAAACGTGATCCTCCTTGAGCCCCTGGTTCCTGCCTTTAGTCTCTGCCGGGCAGCCACTGCCCAGCCCTGTTCATTCACAGCTCCAGGTGATCCACTCGGAGGCCACACCTGGGCCCTCAGAGCTTTAGATGTGGAGTGTTGGCCATCTGCCAGGTCAGGAAAGGCCTCTTGGACAGTCCTTAGCAGCCAGGGGCATCCAGGATGTCTCCTCAGGCTCTGGGTGGATGAGATACCTGTTTTAACTCTCCTGGCACAAGGACAGCCGCCTCACCCCCAAATAGCTTCTCAGGGTGGTGTTTCAATCGTTCGTGGGTCTGCTGAAAAGGCTTCTGAGAAGACTTCCAAACTGGAATTGCTGTCTCATTTCCCAATCCATGCTTCCATTTCCCCTCTCTCCCTGGCAATTACTTGCCTTAAGAGAGGAATAGAGGTGCTTGTCTGACAAAGTCCAGAGGCCTCCGCTGTGGACGAAGGGCAGGACACCTCACCTCTGGCCTCCTCATGGTTCTAGTTCTCAACAAAACTCTAGAATTCACTGAAGAACTCCGTCATCCAGTCACGCCATAGGATGTTACATAGGATTGTGGCATTCTAGCATCTACTATGGATTTCTAGAGCGATGTGATTAAAGCAGCAGCCAGCAGCCTGGAGATAATCTGTGAAATCCAAAGTCAGTGCTGTGGGGTGGGAGACACAGGCGCTGCGTATCCATCAGCTGGTGCCAGAGGCTTGGTGCGCCTCATCACCACCCTCCCAGCCATGGTCTGATTTGCCACGGAAGAAAGAACCAGAGATGCCATGGCCACCTGCACACCCAGCTCTGTGACAGACCTTCACATTTACCTTTTGTCTTCATAACTGTGTGTTGGGTTCCCGAACCAACAGAAAGCACCTCTGTAACCAGCCTGCCATCCTCTGGTTCCGCGAAGTGCAGGTCCTCTTCCACGAGCCACAGCCTCCATCAGCTCACCCACATAGTGCGCAAAGGCCCTGTTCTTATTAGTGTTGGATGTGGTACTGAGCAATTCAGTAACTAAAACCTAAATCTGGGAAGAGAGCCACAGATCTGCCTTTGCTGTGCTAGCTGATCTCAAGACCATCGATCATCTGGCAGGGGAAGGGGGGAAAGGAACGCTTCCACATAATCCTAGCACAATGTGGCCCTGGCCACCAGTCTGCAGGAGAGACGGCCCCTGTGTTTGCAGAGCTTCTCTGTTGAGCCCTAGTGTCCTTTTCCATATGAGTGCTGTACCTTGAGATGCAGCATTCCACAGGAGGGAGTCAGAAGATGAGGCCCCTTCTAGCAGCTGAGATAAACAAGCCAGTGGCCATTTGGAGGGCTGAGGTAGGAGTCATCAGAGAGCAATGCAGCATTGTTAAAATTAAAACTGTGCCTTTTAAGAAGAAAAAAAATGCAAATGTACAGTAAATCCCTAAACTTGAACCATTTCCTAGTGCCTTGCTAGATAAGCATAATGGGGCGGGGGGGGGGG